CCAGGAAACCGCCCAGTGTTTCTCTGACAGTCGGATGTAGCGGAGAGGCCCGCTGCTGCGTTGTCGTCTCTTCTGATGGACGAGGCTATACAACGCTTGGAAGAACGGGGCCCTGCGTACATCAGGATCTCATTACTGGCTTATTGCACATATACACTATGTCAAATAAAGTTTAGACCTCTGGCTTTGCCGTCACTTTTTCTGATTTCTACTTTTTTCCAGCACGTCCAAGAGCCTGATGCATGAAACTTTCAGAAAATCTGAGCACATTATCTCCTGTCAGGACACTCCAACTTGCAGTCATGCAAAGTTACTTAATCTGATTTAGCACCTTATTTACTGAAGCCTGAGTTCTTCCTGATTTATTCACTACATTTGCACAAATGTAGTCAGTCACAGTTTCCCAGAATACAAACCAATGCAGCTGAATGTGCTGTCGAGTGAAATCACTCAGCTGCTCCATTTGGTGTCTTTTCTCCAGCTTTTCCCTCAGTCACTGAAAAAAGAAGTTTTGCTCCCAAAATGACTTAAACTGGTAACACACAAATGAGTCGAATGAATTTAAAATTGTGTTGACATGATGTATCTTTAAGTTAGACAAATTCAAGTCATCAGTGTGTAGCCATTTGAAGTTGGTCCAACAATTTCCTTTTTTTCTGTTATTTCTTTCTTATTGTATCACAATAAGTAAATTTATTGCATCCTAAGAAATAGGCTTTCTCACAGTGAGACTTAAAATCCAAAGAGTAAAGACTGAGAATTGTCTGCTGATGTCTTCCTATTACTCTGAAGAGTTATGCAAAGATGTAGAATTAGTGTTAATTTGATTCTTGTAAAAAAGCCAGTCCCAGTCTACTGACGCAGAATGGCTCATAAATCACTCTTATTCAACAATTCCACTTTAATCCTCGGTGCATTCTTCATACGGCATCAAACAGTTCATCCAAACCGTCCCTGTGTTGCTGAGCCAGAAGTCTCCTTCTCCCTGGCTGCACGCTGGTAGCTTCAGGCAGATGAATCAACCTGACTGAGAGAAAAAAAACAGCCAGCAACAGACACCGATTTTTATAAGAGCAACTAATTAATTTTGGCAAATAAATGAAAGAACAAGCATCTTAACCTGCTTTTAACATTATGTTCTACGTCCTAACGGCGATAAGAGGTTTAGCAGATTAAAGCGGATGTTTTGGTGCTGAGTTTTCCCACGTGCCAAAGATTGTCCAGCTTCATTACATCTGGTTTTCAGTTTGATCTGGCGAGCACACTTTTTCAAATTAGCTTTATGGCCTCCCTGCTTGATTTAATGGTGAATAATAAATAGGAGTGTAGGAGAAAGTCATGCAACAAATGTCAAGAGCTGCGCCCAAACTCACGACAGTGCTCTTATATGGTCTCCGGTTGCCTGCTCCACCGCTGCACGGCCCTAGAAGGGAAACGTTAACAGTGAAACATAACTCATTTAATGAAAGCTGACATTTCTTGGAAAGGGGTAACTTCTTGTGGGGTGTCCCTGCAACACATTTTTGAATCCAGTAACCTCAAATCAACTGCACTTTTCCACTGGAGAGTGAATGGGAATGAGACGCCCTCCTTCCTGGCTATCGGTGGTTTGTCTTTTCAGTTTAACAACCACATTCACGAGGTATGTTTTCACTGTGATTTACATTTTCCATTTAAAGGTTTTTCTCATACATGTCTCTTGCATAAGCTGATGGGCTTTGAGTGGAGCGATTCAGCCGAGGGAGCTCTCGGAGTGCATCTATGACGCAGATGATAACTTCAATTCAGTTTAATTTCATGCCGTTAAAGTCCCCCTCCTCCTGTGTTTTCTGCTTGTTTTCACTTCTCTCAGTGTTCGACCTTCACTCTGCAGAATGATGCAGCCTTCACGCAGAGTTCGACCCTCGATCACTTTAAATCTGAGTTTAACACAAGCATGATTCATCGTTCTTGTCCAAAATGCAACTTACACAAATGTGATGGGGAAACTTGAAACCTGCAGCACACTGAGGCTGAGGAGGGAATACAGATATCATTGAAGGTGATATCATATTGCATCCAGCAGCTGGACATCTTGTATATTTGTTTTCAACGAGGGCATCATGAGTAGTTTGTTAAACTTTGTGTTGATAAACCATGTGGTGAAATTTAAATTCTAAACTGATTGTTACCACTGCAAAGGAGATTGTGTTTGTTTGTTAGTTGGTTGGTTTGTGTGGTTGTTTGTTTGAAAGCAGGATTACACAAAAACAGGAAGGATGGAAGGATGTGGGAGGTGTCAGGGAAGAACCCATTAAACTTTGGTGTGTATCTAGCTCAGGGGGAGGATCCAGGACTTTTTTTTTCACTTCCTTTAACATTGTGATGTGTTTTTATAATGGGACAGTTGGACCTTGGTGGAGTAATGTGCTCTGCTGAGTGCCATCGTAATTATACTTGATTCAACTTTGATGATTCATATGAAACGAATTATTATCCTGCATTGTTTATTTTCATGTCTTTTGGTCTCATACCTTTATTTTATGGTCATGAAATTATCACTTGAGCTACTTCACTGTGCAGAAACCTTTGAGACAGATGCAAAAGCTCTGCTCCACATATCAGACAAAAAGTGGCATTAATATGAAATAGATAATATAATACTAAATACAATACTATAGAATGTAACCAGGCCTTAATAACTAATGTAAATGGCTTCTTTGTGTGTCACAACAGTTTAACCCATTGACTAGGATGCATTGCACTAACATGTGCACTGACTTTGAGTAAATAAAAGGATTAGTTTCCTGAAGGTGAGTTTGTCGTGCATTGGTGTTGACTTTGTAAAGCTGCTGCAGGATTTGTATTAAAACTCTGTCCAAAAAATCCTGCTGTTGTGTACAAAGTGACACACACACACACACACACAGCCAACTCTTTGTCTCTGGTATTTGAACATAAACAGCTTCCTGGGCTGCTGCAGCGTGTGTTTGGACCACTTCAGACAGACACGTCCTCTCTTCAAGGTTATTTGGCCGTAAAGGACAGGACAGCTGAAGCATTGCGGGACTTGTAAAAATAAAAGAGAGAGAGAGTGCTTGGAAACACTTCTCAGTGACCCACACAAGGTGGAACAATCATGTGACCTTTTGTTAGTGGTCCCTGGTTTGCAAAGAAAAATAATCTAACACTGTTTGGTTTGGTGCAGAGGTTACAAATAGATAACACATCATAACATGTGTTGTTATGTTGTTGGCACACACGATAAAGTTCATCTCTTATTTATGGTTCATGTGGGGGGGGGGGGCATTTTTCTCATCTGAGGGGCAGCTGTGTTCAGTGAATCTGTATTTCCCTCTAGTGGTGGCACAAGGAACTCTTCTGAAATGTTATTTTTGAAGTAAGCAAGCTAATGTTTTGTATGTCAGTGTATCTGTTTCCACTTCCACTGTGTTTTGGTTTCAGCTGGGGAATGTTGTTATTTTCTGTGAGGAGAGAAACTCAGTGTTTCCATGAGCCAATTCACACACATGTAATTATTAACTGTGAAAAAAAACAGACAGACGCCCAAGTGCTCGAGTCAATTGTGTGTGACCTTTGTTTTGCTTTTTGAAGGAACTTTTGTTTTGGGTTTTAGGAAGTGGGTCATTTGGCCCTTTACACTTATTTATGTTGTACAAAGTGGAGAAATCTTGCTTTTAATAAACATGGCTTTGTGTCTGGAGAAGACGTTTTGTCAACGTCAATGATGGCCTAAATTATCAGTGATGGCCTACATTTTAAGATGATGTAGGAATGTTGAATGATAAAAAAAATGACATGGGTATGAATAAATAAATAAATGTAGAAATGTGCCTTTTTCATTGCAAACTGTATTGATTTTTCCATTTATATAATGTGATTATTTATTTCATCATATTGTTTATTTACTTTATTTATATTTATTATTCTGGATTGACTGACCTTCCTGTCTTAAAGTAATGATGGACTGTCGTTTCTTTACTTAGTTAAGTGGTTCTTGCCATAATATGGATTAGAACTGTAGTCAAATAGGCCTGTTCACTGTATAGAACTGTGCACCAGCCCTGCCTCTGCACAACTGAGGGTCTCAAACACATTAAGAAGACAAGAAATTCCACGAATTAACTCTTGACAAGGCCAACCTGTTAACCAAAAACCACTGACTACCTCATGAAGCTGAGTGAAAGAACGCCAAGAGTGTGCAAAGCTGTCATTAAAGCAAAAGTTGGCTACTTTGAAGAATCTAAAATTTAAAACATATTCTGTCTTTTGTTTACCACATAAATCCATATGTGTTCCTTCAAAGTTTTGATGTCTTCAATATCAATCTGCATTGTAGACAAACATAAAAATAAAGAAAAACGATTGAATGAGAAGGTGTGTTCAAACATTTGACTGGTACTGTTTGTCTTTTTCTGTCCTTCGTACTTCTATGCACTTGATCAGACAGTGACAATAATTATTAATCAACTGTTTTTACGCACATGCGATTTCTCGGCTGCAGGTGGCGCTGTCCACCAAGATGGTCACCGTTCCACAGTTTGTCAGTTTCCTGTAAAACAACATGGCTGCACACCAGAGTGAAGAGTTATGAATCGGTATGATTCTCTGGTTATCACATAGATTCGGTTAGAAAAAGAAAAAGAAAATGACATTTTGCTCTGAGATAAAATAAATATATAGAAATATAAAAAAGCCCACTGAGCATGCGTCCCACTTCCTGTGGCCAAATATGGGCAACGCAAAGAGAGAGAAAAACACAGGAGGTCTCACTACGCCAGTAAACGTCAACATCAGAAAACAGGTTTTATATCCCCTACAATATTCATCCAGAGGTGAAACGTGTCCTGTACCCAGATGAGACCGATCACTTATCAATGAGCTTTATTCATCACATCTGTCCCCGTGGCAACAGATCGGCCTCTGCTGCCGCCCAGATGTTGATTAAAGAGCAGAGACGATCTTCGCAGTCGCCTCAGCGCCACAGTTTCGAGAAGGAAGCGGCACAGACTTCTCCATCCCCGGCACCAGGCGTGGTCTCAGCTGGGTGCGGTGCTCCGGGTCTTGTTCGGCTGAAGTTCCCTGAGTGTGACCGCTGAGCAGCATCACATGTCCCGAGCATGACAGAGATGTGAAGAGCAGAGCTGACATGGAGAGGAGAGTCTAGTGAACACTGGTGGCCGTGCGTAATTCTCCACTGATCGGTGCGTCAGGACTGAGTGTGTGAGAGAGAGGAGACACTGTGAGAGAGGTGAGAGTCACATGTTTTTCCTGTTTGTCAGAAATGAGTGGACATATGACTCAGTCACACACGGGGAAATGATCCCTGTCATGTTCCATCTGTATTTCCGTGATGCTGCTTTAAGATTTGAAATGTTATTGGAAACTGAACTTTGCAATGAAAACCAGTCAGAGTTTAGCTTCTCTGCTGAATTTAAGTATAAATTCAACGTTCACAACACGGTTAATGCATGTGAATTATTATTAAACAGACTTTAACATTATGGGTTTATTGATGATATACTACACCTGTACTTGCTTTTATGATATGAGTATATTTTTAAAATTTGTGAAACTGCAGTACATGATTATAAAAGTATATAAGTTATATGGAGAGACATATGTATTATATGTTTACATGTTGAAAATGCCTTGATACATGTTTGTATTGGATAAAAACAATAATGGTAATAACTTTATTTATTTGTATAGCACTTATCTAAACAAGGTTACAAAGTGCTTCACAAAATCCATGGCAAAAAATGAATGAACTAAAATAAAACATGATCAGTTAGATTTTAAGCATCATAACATAATAAGACCCAACAGTTTCAATATTGAAATACTGATTTTCAACAGATTTAATAATATGTACAGTGTAGTGTGAATCTGAATGTGATGCTTCTGGGTGTGTCTGGACCGTGGAATGAAGCAAGAGCACCCACAGAAAACTCTCATGAACAAGGGGAGAACATGCAACTCCACACAGAAAGACCCAGGCTGCACCAGGAGTCTAACCAGGAACATTAGTGCTATGAGGTGACAGTGCTCACCATAAATAGAACTTTGATTAAGAAAATAAACAGGTTTAAAGTGAAATGTAAACTACACATCTTCCCTGCATGTTTTTATTCTGTAAAATAAAAGACATTAGCAAATGTCTATTACATTTTTATCTGCCAATCGATGTTTTGATCAGGCGCTATTTAGTAAGAAAGGTGCACTGTGATGAACAAGCTTTTACCCTGTGATATGTTACACACCCCAGCTCAAAGGCTCAAATCAAATCCAGGCGTGTTGTGTTCCAATGTTTCAAGTTGTGCAATGTTCACAGAACAATGGGCGTCCTGCAGCTGCTGAAGTCCCAGTTCTTGTGCCACCTGCTCATGTTCTACGTGTTCCTGGCATCGGGCATCATCATCAACCTGTTGCAGATCTGCACTCTGCCTCTGTGGCTGGTCAGCAAGCAGCTGGCCCGCAGGATCAACATCAGACTGAGCTACTGCATCAGCAGCCGTGAGTGTCCGCTCTCATTGTCCGACGTTAGAGCTGCTTTCAGACCTGCACTGAAGTCTAGACATTTTCCTGAAATGCTCCAGAGGGGCTGTATGTGAGAACAGAAATGTCTGGGTCAGTTGTTCCGGAGATTTTTAGGAACTTTTCCTGCCAGCCCCCTAGTAAAATGTCAGAGGGAGTGGGTTTGTTGATGACATGGCAAGGACAATAAGAGCTTCTGGCAACAGCTTAAAGGGATAGTTCACCCAGAAATGCGGCGATGGAGGGGTGGGTGAAGTGTTTGAGTCCATAAAACACTGGGAGTGCAGCCAAATCCAATACAATTAAAGTAAATGGTGAACAATTCTTAAAAAAAACAAAAGAAAAAAAACATTAAATGCATTCGTATTGCTCCTTTGGTGTCATCCAAGTGTGTGTAATCCAGACATTCAAATTAGACTCAAAACGTGTCCATTTACACTGTGTTTTAAACCTGAATGTCGTCTGTTATTCTCCTCTGGAGCCACATTCGTGCACGGACATTTAGGCTAAAAACATGGTGTAAATATACTTGAATTTGAATGCCGGGGGCCAGACGCCAGCCCACATCTCAATGTTCCAGACATTTTCCTGTTGTCGTGAACGCATCTGACCTGGACAATCTCGTCCTGCGTTCTTCATGTGTGAAAGGCAAACTAATAAATGACAGGTGCGTCGTCTGATAGTGTTTGTTTGCTGCTGCGAAGAAAAAATTAACTTCAGTGGTAACTTGGAATGAAAAAGATCAAAGTCTGCATGAAGCACATTATCATTTTACAAACACAGTCAAACCCTTTTACCCTTTACACACAAAACATAGTTATGTCTACATGATCATCTCTTTATGATCCTCAGAGCTGGTAGCTCTCCTGGAGTGGTGGTCTGGGACACAGTGTACGCTCTACACGGATCCAGAGAGCTACTCACTGTACGGGAAAGAGAACGCCATCGTGGTTCTGAATCACAGTTTTGAGATTGACTTCCTGTGTGGCTGGACCTTCTGTGAGAGATTTGGAGTCCTCGGGGTGAGAGAAAGAAAAATCACACCAGTTTGAGACATTTTTGTTCTTCTTTTCTTTACTATTTCAATTTCTACATTCTCCAGAGTTCAAAGGTGTTGGCTAAGAAGGAGTTGGCGTACGTTCCAGTGATTGGTTGGATGTGGTACTTCATGGAGATCGTCTTCTGTAAGAGGAAATGGGAGGAGGACAGAAGGACGGTGGCACAGAGTCTTCAGAACCTGCGGGATTACCCAGAAAACTTCTGGGTAGGTCTTCAGCTGCGAAGATGAAATGAAGATGGCGGAGAGTTGTAGTGATGTCACAGTGATGTATGTTTGAATAACTCCGCTGATGAACGCTCTCTCCCTGGGGCTATAGTTCTTGCTTTTCTGCGAAGGCACACGCTTCACGCCAAAGAAGCATCAGATCAGCATGCAGGTGGCTGAGAGCAAAGGTCTGGTCAAACTGAAGCATCATCTCCTGCCCAGGACCAAGGGATTCTGGGTAACCGTCCAAAACCTCAGGGGAAATGGTGAGTGTCCATTGCAAGTATTTCAACACAGCCGTCAGTACATAAAAGAAACAGAGAGGGGGAGTTGTACAGTTGACTTCCACTGTGTGTCTCGTCTTGTAGCCGTGGCTGTTTACGATTCCACACTGAACTTCAGAAACAACGAGAAGCCGTCTTTGCTTGGAATTCTCAACGGGAAGAAATATCACGCAGATTTATATGTGAGGTACAGAGAAGTGTTTAATAGTGAAGATTGCTGGCCTTCATTTCCTGCATAATCTCTTTTTGGAATCTGAAATATCTGACTTTCCTTTTGCAGGAGAATCCCTCTGGAGCAGATCCCAGAAGATGAGGCCGGTTGCGCTGCCTGGCTCCACAAGCTCTACCAGGAAAAGGTGAGACAGTAACAGCTTTGCAGCTTCTCTCATTGGCTCTCAAGCTGTTTAAAGACATGCACCAAACTCCAGACATTTCCTGAATTTTTCAAGAGGGCTCTGTATGTGAGAATGCAAATGTCTGAGTTAGGTGATCCACACTTTTTCTGGACATTTTACTAGTGTTGAAGACGTTTCTAACACACGACAGATGCAAAACTGAAGATAATAATAATACTATTGTCAGAGGGATAATACAAATTCCTCATTCTCAAAAAGAGGATGTCAACATGGTTGCTTAGTAAAGCAGTTAAAATGCAGTACAAAGCAACTGTTGCAATGATAAGTAAAATAAATGGATAAAATAGATACATGTAAATAAGAATAAAATAAAATGACATAAATTAGAGAATGAGAATGCTAAGACAAAAAGGTCTTTGGAGTTGTTATAAAAGTGCTAATCGATGACAAGCTTAATGCTGCCTCCTCACATCATCAAGATGTCTACATTCTTCAATGTGTCAGATGGTTGAAAATGTCATTACCCAATTTCCCGACAATGTTCCTGAGTTCATGTCGAGTCATTAATCCAAACTGGATAATATTGAGAAACATTGTAAAATGTGTAACTTCTTTGGTATCGACCGGTTTCTGCATTGATGTATCTGCAGGACAGCTTTCAGGAGCATTACACACAGACGGGACGTTTCCCCGGGCCAGTAACGAGCCCACCATGCGGACCCTGGACCTTGATCAACTGGCTGTTCTGGTTCTGCTTGCTGCTCTACCCTCTGGGCCTGCTGCTCGCTCAACTCATCAGCTCTGGAACAATTTTCACCCTCTTGGCTGCTGTGGCTCTCTGCTCTGCAGGTTGGTTTCATTACATTTAAGCCAAAGTCAGTGTGAACATGGGTGTAACAGTTTAACCAGTTTCTTTTCGTTCAAACGTCCCATAAAGCAGCAGATCCGACAAGTCGAATGTAAGTCCGTCTTTTTCTGGAAATTAAGGTTAATCAGTGTTGGGAGCATGTTCCCAAGAGCATCAAGGCATGTGCTGACTGACTGAAGTTAAAAATTCATCCAAATAGTTTAATAAGATGTTTTAAATTAAAGAGAGGAGCATGTTACAGTGTCACCAATACATGAGAGGCCACCTTTGTTTCGAGAACACAGGTATATTTTAAATATTTGTTAAAAGGTTTTTAAATTTAGGAATTTCTGCAGATTTTAATTGTTAGACTCAAGCCTCAAGTCTTGAGTTCAGTGTTGTCCTTTAATTCTAATCCTGAGTGTAAATTTACAAGCTTAAAAAAGTGGAAATAACCTCATCATGTACAGGATCTCAAAACCTGCCACCACTCATCCTTGACTTGTTAAGTTGATTTTCTCAATGTTGTTTTTCTGAATTTTTCCATTGCAGCTTCACTGGGAGTTCGCTGGATGATCGGCCAGACTGAGATCAACAAAGGCTCCAGCTACGGGAACAAGGAGGTTCCTCTGAACAACAACTGAGTCGGCTCTGAGCTGCTTCTTTGCACAGCTGCTTTTCTGAGAAGGCTGCAGTCTGCAGAATTTTGAAATCACCAGCCTGACGGGAGCTTGCAGGTCCAACAAGTACAAACTTGCTTAAAGCACAAAACAAACAGGGTTGTCTTGTTCTAATGCTGCAGGAGCTCAACTTGGATGATGACAGTGGACTGAGGTGAGCCGCTTCCTTTAGCCGTCAACAACATTCTCTTTAAAACAGAGGGTTAATATTTAATTACACTCAAGATAGAAATTCTCTCTATAAAGACAAATTGAAACTTTGGATTCAAGCAAGTGAAAAATGAAGTGAACTCTACATTTTATGGTTGAATAAAATATATATTTTACTTACTTTACCCCGGTCCTAATTATGCAGAACATCATTTCTGAGGCCCTGATTAGGGTTAGAGAGAAGATGTGAATTGTTGTTGGGTTTTTAGGGTGAAGCATGAGTTGGTCCACAATGAAATGCAGTGTCCTAACAAGGACGGCTGTGCAAACTCTGTGTGTGCCTCACTTCATCAAAGGGCTGTTAAAGGGTTTACATTTTTATTTAAGGGTTAGGAAATGGAGGGGAATAGGGAATGAATGATGCTAATGAGTTTATTTACTAAGATAGAACTACTAGAGTGTTTGTGTGTGCGTGTGTGTTCAGCAGCGAGCTAGAGCAGGCCCCGTTTCTAATTGTAATTAACTTCACTTGAGTCATGAGAGCAGCTCCTCACCAGCTAACAGATTTACTCCAAACAATCCCTGAAGGCTTCAGCTTGTCGCCCACTCTAGTAAAAAAGCCACTAAAAAGCTGGTGTTTGTACTTGAGCATTGAAAAGTGACGAATAACGTATTCTGTATTAGAAGGTGTTGAAATCAGGACTACAGACGAGAAGATTCACAGCCTGAGTTGCGGGTCACTTCCGCTGTGGTTTTAATAAATAAATACCTGTCACGTAACATAAATACTGCACATGGAGACACAGCTAATCCACCAGACCTCTGTTATTGACAGTAAACACAGAGGTAAAGTGAGCACGTCTCCTCCCTCACTGTAACCTCTCCAGTTATCATCTCAGCCAGGACACAGCAGAGCTCTTCTGTGACCTTTGACCTTTGCTCATTAAACCTGTAAAGTCTGTGTAGAACTGCACCAGGTCGTACTGGACTTGAGGCATGGATTAGAGAAAGAAAACCATCCATCTATAGGGACCCCTAGTGGTGGTTTCTTATTTATTTTCCTCTGTCACCTGGACATTTCAGTCACTGCCTAATTGAAGAAATCTTTTTTGTTGGTTTGAATTAACCTAAAATTGCCTTCTTTCTTCTTCCTATAACAAATATTTTGAGTGCATGAAATTCTCAAGGTTGTATTAAATTAAAGAATAATTAATTTGGGTACTAAAGATAATTTTGTAAATTGTCATGTGTCTTAAATTATGATGCAATAACAATTGATATTAAAAATAAACAATGTGTATTTTGCTAATCTACTTTATTGCATTGTTGTATTTTAAATTCTTCACCAGTCTGCTGCACACACAGGCTCAAAGGATCTTTATCCATTTCACATCTCTGAAACTGTGTCATGATGAGATTATACATGATTCTACTTTTTCTTATTATGGGTGCCGCCAACTGGGGTGTTCCTAATCAAATCAGTGAGTATCCATAGCAACCCCATACACACGCAGAGGAGGAAACTCCTCTTTATATTTACTGATTTTGAATTTTTTGCTGCACTCTGCTTTAGTCCAGTGGTTAAAGCACTTGCATCATGTGACGTGAGTCTGGGTGAGGACGGGAGCTTTTGCTTCACTTTTTGACAATTTAAATAAAAATAAGCCCCCCCCCCCCCCCCCCCATAGTACCAGGATATTACCAGGAAACATGTAATGAGCCTATATTTTGAAATTAAGCCGCCCCCCATAGTAATAGGATGTTACCAGGAAGTCTGTAGAGAGCCAAGCTTTTCAAAATAAGACCCCCCCATAGTAATAGGATGTTACCAGGAAACATGTAATGAACCAAGTTTTTCAAAACAAAACCCCCAGATGGTTACTGTCAAATTATAAATAAATAAAATTGAACAATATCGTGACATCACTATGCCATTGATCCTCCATGCCATTGATCCTCCATGCCATTGATCCTTTCATGCCTTTGACCCTTCATGCCTTTAATACATGATACTTTACCGTTGACATTGTATGATCATGAGGCTCATTTGCAGAGACGCAAAACAAGAGAAGCAGACTTTTTCTTCATTCTGATCCCCACATATTCAGAAAGGAACAAAACCCAGCAACATGCCCTTCCTGATCCTTGGTGTCCTTGTAGGCACCACAGTTACTAAAACTGTGAAGAGTCTGTTTGACCATTTCCTCCCATCTGGATCCAATCCATTGGCCACTGCAGAGTCAGAGCCTGCAGCTGTGTTCGATAAAGAAGAACAGGATGAGGTTGGACCTGCTGCAGCTGTGTCAGACGTTGCAGCATCAATGGAAACAACTAGTACTGCAACTGTGTCACAAGTTGCTACGGCTTTCAATAACGCTGCACGTGCTGTGAATAAGGCTGTTGCAGAACTGAAAAGGACCTGCCCCGCCTCTATTTTTTGCTGTGATACATCGCCGATGGAGGAGACCAGTGCTGCAGCTGTGTGCAACCTTTCTGAAGCTGCAGAGGCTCTCTATAACTCCTCGGTAGAACTGCACCAGGCCGGTGCTGATGATGCTGACACTGCAGTGGCTCCCCTCAACGCTACAGCTCTAGAGGATGACTCCAGTGCTTCAGCTGTGCTCAATGTGGCTGTAGATTTGTACAGTGCTGCAGATGCTTTGCACAAGGTCACATTAGCATTGGATTGGACCAGTGCTACAGCTGTGTGCACCTTTGGTGCAACTTGGTACAATGCTTCACTTGCTGTATACAAAGCTGCAGCAGCACTGCATGAGGCCAGTCGAGCTAAAACTCTGTTTGGTGTAGTACAACCTCTGTTATATGTAACAGAAAGAGCGGATGTGAACAGTGCTGCAGCTTTGTCACCCGTTGCCACAACTGTTTGACGGAGCAGGTGATAGCTTTGGAGTTTTCATCTCTCGATGAGACCAGTCCAGCACAATCCCGGGAGGATGGAAACTGTCAAATTATAAATAAAGAAAATTGAACAATATCTGCTTAGTATCTATTTTGTTGTATATACCAGAAGCATTGCACCTCTGTTGATTAACACCAATGTTTAAATTTACAGAAATTAAAATTAGTCATAATACTCTACTATACTATACTGATGAACTTTAACTTTCATTTAATTATTACTTATTTAATTTCATGTAGAAAATCCTAAATGAGAATTTATGAATATAAAGTTGCAGGAGTTTTGGGCTCTTGTGTCAGAGCTGTGAGTAATGATTGCACCTTAGGTCAATATTGGCCTGAGCTGATTTCTGTTTAACAGATCTGAGAGCGCTCACCTCTAGATCAGGTGTGTCGGTGTTGACACAAGAAACTAGTGGTTTCGGTTTCAGCCCGTGGGAATGTGTTTCTCTCATCGACTCTCATGTTCTTTCCCTCATTGCCTCAATCTCGTTTATCTAAAATATTTCACCAATGAATGGTTATTAAAAGTTTGTCACATTCCAGATCGTGCCACACATCGTGGCTTCCAAAGAACAAACCTTCCTCACACTTCCTTAGGAGTAAGTTAGTATTTGGCATTATTGAGTTGTGTCTGCATTGATGTATCTGCAGGGTAACTGTCAATAATATTACAGGGCGTTTCCCCGGCAACATAATGAGCCCTCCACATGGACCGTGGACCTTGATCAACTGGCTGATCTGGTCCTGCTTGCTCCTTCCCCCACTGGGCCTGCTTCCCGCTCAACTCATCAATTTATCAACCATGGAATCTTTGGCACCAAAATGACACGTCATTATCACTGCTCTGCTCAAATCTAAAACTGGATTAGTGAGGTGATGTAAAGTGTGAGGTGGTCATCTTCAATAAGTCTTGTTACTACAGTGTTGTTAATGGAAGGATTATGGTCCAAATACTCCTTATAGCGTTTTCATCTTTAGAAAAACAACCAGGGTATCTAAAGTCCTTCTTAAAAATCTAAGATCCATAAATCATTCATAAATATAATATAATATTTAAAGCCATCCAGTTAGAACTTATAAATGCTGTGTGTACCATCACTGATCACTGATCAACTGTCATATTACTAGATCTGGGAATTTCCCAGTGTTTTGAAAATGATTTTCATTCAGCAAACTGAGAAATAGTTCTGACCTTGAATATTAAACAATGAAATGCACTCGATAGCATAACTAAGTCCACCTGTTTCGGACTTAGATAATATTTGAATTGTTCTCTTTGTGGATCATTTCACACGGATTCACTTTGTCTTTCTGCTGAAACTGAAACTGAACAGTACCATGCAGCTCATGTCTCTCTGACAATTAAAATATTTCAGGATATAGATTTTACTCATTCTGGTAATAATGTTGTGTAAAGAAAAATATACATTTCATTTATAAAAACAAATTGGTTTATTAATATTGTTTGTACATAGCAAACACTTTAAGAGCAGCAGAGGACCAGAAGTTGTGTTGTGTGTCGTCGTCTTATGTTTGGTTGTGTGGAAGTTGTGTGTTCAGCAGCAGGGAGGGAGAGCAGGCCCCGTGTCTCCTCTTTGTCGGCTACGCTCCAGTCGCATGAACAGCTCTTCATCAGTGACCAGTAGACTTGAACATTGCTCCGACTTGACGTTTACTCCTCAGCGAAAGGCAAAGAAAAAATACACGTAATAAAATAAAATCCTTCCTAGTGCCCGCTCTCGTCAGGATGACGAGTGATAAATTAATCTGACTATTTGGATGGTGCTCATTTCATCAAGGTAAACCGACATCTCCTTCCGTTCAGTGAGGTTGACCACATCCTCCTCTGCCTCACCGGGCGACTGAAATAAGATTCCCCCCTCCTCTACTCAACTGCTCCCTTGGGTAAACAGTTTAAAAGTGCCATAGATTTAAGCCCCCCCCACACACACACACATATTTGTTTAAAATAAAAAAAAGGTATTCATCAATGCCTTTTCAGAGGTCTCTTAACCAGTGAGAACAACAAATGTGGTAATAATTACTTTAACTTTACAATATTGTTTATACAAGAATTAAAGCCAATCCTATTCTTACAGTATGTACAGCCCCTCCCCCCCACAGTCCATGGGTACATAAAGACACAACAACCCTATTTGCCATAGGTCCAGTTGTCCTCTGAAATGATTTTATATTACTTCCTCAGTTTAGCTCCATGTGCCTTTAGCCGTTACTTCCACTTCACCAAGTCCTTTTTCTTTTGCCGACAGCATGTACAGTAGTGCTTTAATGTGTAAACGTGAAGGCCACAGGGCAGGTCTCACTCTTCATCTGTACAAACCTGGAACAGACAAGAGACAGCAGCTGTAGTGTCACTTGTGCCATGTAAGGTTTAAGTCATGACGGCGCTGTGACGCGTCACAGAAGTGTCTCACCTTGACAAACGGGTGGTCGAGCAGCATGCTAGCTGTCCACCGGCGTTTGGGTTCGCTCTCCAGACAGTGGCCGAGGAAGTCCTTCCCCTCTGTGCTCAGCTTCTCTGGGATGGGAGGTTTATGGCCCATGCCCACTTTGTACATGATCTGGAAGTTGTGCTCATACTCGTGCCAGGGTCTCTGCAGGTCGAGATTAAAATGAGAACATGAGTCACTTCCTGGTAGTTTTTGCTTCTGGTTTTATCTGAAGTTGTGACTTAAATCATCTAGATTTAAAAAAGCCTTTGATGAGCTGAAGGGGGATTAAGTTTAAACATCTATTTATTTTAAGGTTTGTTATATGAATATGGATTTTAATTAGACTGAAATGAGAATTTATAATAAGAATGAAACAGCATCCCACAACCAATTATGTTAAACCTACTAGTTTTATACAAAGAACCTTAAAAATCATTAAATATGTGGCATAAATATGTTACATGAAATTCTACTTTACTGAATTAAAATAAAAAACCTTGTCTACAAGGGGTCTCTTTTTTCTAATAACAATAAAGCTACAATAAGCTGTTTAATTAACACAAGAACATCGTTTGTCTTCTCTCCGCCAGCAGAGAAACAACAAGTAAGCCTGAGTGAAACTGTTTTCAAAAATCTTTTCTATCACCCGTTACCTTTCCTGTCACCATCTCAATGAGGACGCAGCCCAAACTCCAGATGTCGGCTGCTCTCCCATGACCTTCCCCCTTTGCTCGTGTGATGACTTCAGGTGCCATATAAGCTGATGAGAATAGAGAAAAACGGCAATAGGTAAAGCAGAGGAATTTAAGAAGCAGCAATGTTGATGTGACATGAAAGACACAATACAAGACATTTGTAGAATAAAAATTACACAAACCATGAAGCATGACAAGATCAATTTGTATTCAATACACCAATTAGTCACGTTTTCATACTGT